CGTGTATCGGAAGGAAGGTCAGTCTATTTGAAACCTATTAATTAAGTACGACGACAGAGCGCGTGTGTAGTCGTGTGAGCTATTATGCGAGGGAGGCGGAGGCGTAAAGCGGCGGAGGAAAAAAAAAAAAAATAGAAGATTGTCCGCATAAAAAGGAGCCGCGTCTAAAACTGTAACGGACATACTCTCCTCGGGTGGACGATTACTTTCGCACGGGCACGCAACAAACCGTGACGCAAGGCGTTCGAAAAACGGAAATGACGGCAGTTTACAAAGTAGGTGACGCCTGTTTTATCAACGACAGGCAATCCGCCGTTATGATGTTAAACGGGAGAGGCTTTGCACGCCGTACGAGCATCGGAGGGTTGTGTCACGCTCACTAGAGAAAAACTACACAGAACAAAGGAAGAAAAAGCGGATACGAGCTTTCGTTATCCACGCGTGAATCGTTCCCTTCTTTGTGAACCGGGACGAGGCAGCCGAACTGTCCTCGATGAATGGCTCGACTTCGTCGCGCAAACGAGCTCCTCCTGCGACGATGGCTAATTGCATCGTGAGTCGGCTAAGTCCTCCGGGGGTTGTAACTGACGGGCGGATCCGTTGTTCTTCTGTCATCGTTTCCTCTTCGATGGATCTCGAGGGTCGTTTGGCGAGCATTGAGCTTTGCCTAACGAGGGACTATTTCTAGGTATACATCGTTGTTAGAAAGTAATCGGTATACTCATTTTTTACAGGATATAGTTTAATTACAATATTACACGAGTCCACTTTTGATTGCTAAAACTATCAATCCCTAATGTATTACGGTAAATCTACTCTATATTGATGACAATTTACTTAATGGATAATTTAAATGTATACTGTGTTAATTCCATCGGTACGTTATAATGGAAAATAGAATGATTTGTAAAAACTAGGATTTATCTAGACAAATTGAACGATCACTGTCGCATCGAATGTTACAAAATCCTGCTGAAAACTCGAATATCGCGGAACGAAACTCGAATTTCAAGGGTCAAATTCGTTATGCGAACGCGATTAACGAACGCGGCACGAAACAATCGATTCGCAACAAGTGTTTACACCGATCGGTCGTTCGCCATTTGTCGCTGCAACATTAACGCTTCCGCGAGTATAATCGACTCTGACCAACAAACGAGCCGTTCCTATTTAAAATGCTAGAGATTTCTCTTGTCAAATATAGAACCATTTTCATATATACTTCCTAAACACCGTGCAGGGACTCCTCGTAATTTCTTCGCGCTGTTCCTCGACAGCGCTCGAACACGGGACGTTCATGACATTCTACGAATATTCGACCTGCCTTAAAGTTTTCTTGGGAGTACGTTTGAAGTCGCGACAGAAGGTCAAAGCTTGGTGAAAGTCGCGCGCGATATATTGACGGGGCGTGGTAGGTTCAAGAACTCTATTAGCAACGTGAGCGTTCGTGAATTGATAGCGAGTCAACCCGGTCCTCTTCTTCTTATACGACAGAGATCGAGCATCCTGAGTTTACGCATAATCTTCACACATGCACACACACGTTGTTCTAGTCCAGTTATACAAACGCGTACAATCATGGACAGCTGTGTGCGGTAGCATTGGTATTTATAAATAAATGCGTCGGCCACGTGCCACGAGAGAAATGGAATGGCGTTTGGAGAGTGCCTTAACTCGATCAAGAAGCTTAAAACGGTCAGGTCTGGGGGTAGAAGTGACCGCTGGTGGGGAGATCAAGGTGGAAGGAATATGCCAAACGCACGATCTAGCTGCTTCGCACCGAGTCGGCTAATCGTATTTTGTTTGATTTTCTTTGAAACAGCCGGAATTTTGATGGATCTCCCAGAGTTCGAAGTCTTAAACTTCGTCAGCGTTTCTTTGACCGCGAAGAGCGGACGATCGGAAACGAGAATGGTGTAAAGGAAGATATAAAAGACAAGGGAAGCTTCTGTTTAGAATTCTGTTGGCAAGCGTTGAACGACGTTTGCTGGTTATTGCTTGAGAGAATTGTTATTTCGAGCTCTCGTTTCTTCGTGAGATAGGGAATTTTGTAATAAGAGGTTACCACGGAAGCTCGGTTCGCTGGCAAACATGAGAGAGACTTGTATATAACGTTAAACTATACCGTACGTCATATGCGTAGAGGAGAGTCTATAAAATCAGCCACGCGTACATGGCCATGTCTTCTGTCACTGTAAACGTTCTATAAACGTTAGAAAATAAAACGAACGAAAATATCTCTGGTTGGCTACCATTAAGGCTTCTTCGAAACGATAAGATTTTTAAATACTTTGCGCCCGACGGCCGATCGACAGCCATGAAATACATTGTTTCTAATTTTAGCGATGGCTCCGGCGCGCGTTCATTGACGAAAGTTTGTGTTGAAAATAAAAATGAACGCTGGCTGGCAGCTTCCGATGGTTTCTCGCCGTTTCTAATCACGATTTGCAGCCGGTATGGGATTCTTTAATGGGGGAATCGAGGTAAATCGTTATTAGAACGTATCGATATTATTATTAGACCGTTATACACGTCCCGATAATCTAAGGAACGCGTAAATATTTATGTAATCCTCGTGACGTAAATTTATAACATTGTTGTACGAGTACCGCGGTATCACTCGTGTTGCCAAATGACGTGCGCGTTGCGATCAGAATAACGTAGCTGGTAACTAATGCTCAACGAGGAATCCGACAGAGCCGTAGTGGATTTTTCTTTCTCGTTTAAAATCTGCCTTGCTACACGAATAAAAAAGTGTATTATTAACGCTCACAAAAAATAAACGATATATTAATTTACGACACGGTGTCCTGATCTTCTCAGAGCTATTTATTATCCATTCTACTTTTTCTAGCCTTAATCACCGTGCTACTTTACAAATTATTGCGAATGCGAATATAAATACTGTTGCAGTGCTGTTAATGAATCTTTTACGAGCCGCGAATCATGCGCTGAAATGTCGCAACATGTGAAACGTATATTTTTTTTAATATAATTGTATTTGCTATACAATTCGGAATGAACACTATCGAATTGTTTTAAGCCCAATGACATTAATAATAAGAAGGAAAGGAAAGAATCTACAAAAAGGAATGGTAATTAGAAATGTTTTCAAAACGACGAGAAATGATGAAATAAATTTCACTCGGGCGACCGGGTGTCCCATAGTGTCGTTTCATCTTCCGTGAATTCCTCGCGTCGACCGTTAATTAAGGATGGTAATTAAACACCAGCAGGCCACTGATACATTCTGGCGACGATAAATCTGCACGACGCAGTTCCTCGTGTTTCAAGGCGTCCTGATGACGCTTATCGGCCCCACAGTGGGTACGTTTATTCCGCACGACAAGCATTTTTCACGTCGACTTTTGGATCCGCCCAATTGACATAGCTATGCTAATTTGAGGCTAAATACGCCACGAACGAAGTCGGTCGCAAAGGGAACGCAAATACGATGTGCGAACACTATCGTAAATGATTTTATGTTTGCTATATATGTTTTTGCCAACATAATCATGATAATTGTGTTTCGTTACGGTACTAATGAAATTTCTCTCAAAATATTTTCTATAATACACATAATACACCTATGAAAGTATTTAAATACTTTTTGTGAGTCAGTCTATATCGCTCGAGGTTCGATATGAAAATAGAAAACACTCGATAAATATTCCACGGCGGGCGCTGTTACTCGTCCAGACATCGAATAAATTAAACCTAAAAGTATCTTACTCTCGTTCGATATATATCTAGTTGTTGCTCCTCGTACTTTCCTCTTTCCTGTTCTGTTTATATCCAACAACACGAAACCGGTTTCAAAACGATCCTTCAGATCATATTTATTCGTAAAGATTTCGCTCAGCGCCAGTGGAACAAGACGTCAATGATCAGACACGATTGAACGCGTAGCTTAAAGGTATCGAAAGCCTGGAAGTTAATTGTCCGAAAGAAGCATCCAGATCAATCTTTATTTTACCAAATAATTAATAAATTATCGTAATTGTTATTGTAATTATTATATATAATTTATATATAATTATACTGTAATTATTGTAATTATATATATAAATTATTATCACTATTAAATATCAATGTTAATGAATTAACAAGTTATAGATTTCTTGAATCTATATAATATAATCTTACAATTTTCGAATAAGCTCGCCTGAAAAATGTTACTAACAATATTATTTTGATCGTATAACAGCTCTGAAAATACTAAAAGATACTTTCGATCGAGGGGCGATAAGTAAGCGGAAAAAGAATCCCAGGTCGAACGACCCGAAATAATTTCTCGATAGGTAGATCGATTAGAACCAGACGCCGGGCTTAATTCGTTAGACGCAGAAATTCGCATTCATCACGCGAACATCACGGAAACCGAACTCTCTTACAGGAGAGACACTCGTTTCTTCGTATCTTTGACTTTCCCTCTTTCGTAACGTCGAGCAAGCATCCATTATTTAAACGAACGACGTTCTTGTTCGAGGGTGTGCAGCAGCAGTCGTTCAATATTTATGAACTACGGGAAACGAGGGAATGCTTACGAGATATTCGGCCAGGCTGTGATCATGATCCTCGCGTAATGAATCGTGTCCCTGAAGTACACGAACTTTAATTAATCGAACCTTTTCCCCCCTTATTCTTAACTAAAAGATTGTGTTTCGCGTTGTTTCGTGTGTTGGAAATCTTACTATACAGGGTGTGCAAATAATCAAGGTACAATCAAGACGAGGATGGTTCTAGAAAATGAAATTTAAAAAATATATGGAAAATAAAGAATAAAATATTCTTACATGAGGCTTTATTTTCGAAAAGGTCGAATGTTAAGAATATTCTTTGAATATACCTGTACTTAACTACGTCGTAGACGAATACAGATTTTGATACAGGCCACACCCTGTTTACAAGTAACGTTAATATCATACCTAATATTGATTTCTTATCAGTTCCTGTGCTATCTAAGTACATGTCAGCGGTAGATATTAATTTTATGCCTCTTTAGATAAAATTTCCGTTTACTTACTGATTTTGCTTACATTTCAATTTGTGAAACGAGTTCCTGGTAAGACAGAATTTCACGATTACCGAAATATCCTGTATACTGGACTTATTTCCTTTTTAATATTTAACATCGTAACTCTGCTCTCAGATAAATTTCCAAATAGATTATTATCAATCTGGAGAAGTTAGAATTCCGTCCCGCACAAAGATTGTGTTTTCCTTATCCTAATCCTTGCCCGTTAGGTATTATGAGCGTAATGAAAGGGAGGAAAGTTTTAAGCGCCATCGTAAAATTCCTTTGTTCTGGGCTCGTTTCAGGGATACAAGCTCGATATTTTAACATCGGTGCATGCCGGTTAATCAAGTTATATTGCTGCTCAAAGATAGAAACTAGGATGTTTATCGAATCATCGATATGTATCGTTTCGCATTCCCGGTTCTGGTCGCGGAAACGTCTTGTGTTTCTCTATGCCCGACTAAGATCCTATTCTACTTCCTTCGTTTCTGCTCAACTTGTTACTTTACCGAGGAAACTCCGATGGATCTCGTTCGACCAAAGAAAGAATCACGAGCGAAAAAACTCTATTTCGTTTCCTTTAATCTTGAAAAGACAAGACGTCTCTTGTTCGCGGTGAATCGTCTGTTTCTGAAAATAAGAAACAACAAGCGCACACGAATGGCCGGGGTAGTTCATTCAAAATCGCTTTTCCAGCAGCGTAAAATCACGCCGTGCTCGCATCACCGTGTTTTCTTTACTGAAAGACTTGTAGGATCGTTCCTCTCGCCATTCTCCACTCCTAACTTCGCTGATTGCGGGATAATCTCTGTGAGAGCTCTCATGGTTTCAACGAGAGGCGATAAGAATCGTATACAAAAAAAGCAGGAAAGGTATCTCGGTAATCAGTGCGTGAAAAAATGCTCTTCTACAGTGCGCTAAAAAAAGCAGGTAACATTTATGTGGTGTGATTTCAAGACAATTCTAGATATCCATTATCATTCTATACGGCTATCGATGTATTTCTAGCGTAAAATTATTAGATTGGTGAATATTAAATGTCATTTATTTCTTCATAAATTTTCTCCATTGCTTTGATATTCAAATTCACACCACATGAATATCGCTTATCTTTTTTAACACTCTGTATATGTCTGATTTTTCTGCTTTTTCTTTTTTTCGTTTCCATTACATATGCTTTTTTCTCCTTTTCGCTTATGAAATCCTACTGGCTATATCGTAATCGCTTATAAACGTTGCTCTTTCATTAATTTCCACCGTTATCATGGAGGTGGGAGAGAGAGAGAGAGAGAGAGAGAGACAAAACAAATCACTGGTGTTTTATCTCGGCGAGAAATCGCCTTTTAACGCGAACCGCGCTTCTTCCGTTCATACGGTTTCCACGACTGTTGGTCCCACGTGTAAAGGGACAACAGAACCTCCTCGAATTAATTCCCTGTGCAAATTGTTATGTAAATTAGACACCCTCTAGACTTCTCCGTCTATTGAATTTTTATTCAGTGATCTTTCTTTAGTTTCGTTTTCCTTTTCTTCCATTAGAGAAGAAGAAAGAAATATTGTTGGGATCCGGTCGAGAAACGTGAAAGACCTCGTTCATTTGCTTGATCTTTTTTCTCATCACGTTCTCTTTTAACATCGTAATATCGTGCAATTATTCAATATTCGAGAAAATGATCGATAGCATTGATCAACAATCAAAAGGTTCAAACAGGAGGGTGAATCAACGCGGTCTGCATGGATTGCTTTAAAGGTGGAGCGCTATGGTAAGTATAATTATGATATTTGCACGATCTTGTCCTTCTCCACGCGGTTTGCACACACATGCGCTTCCACATTTCACACTCTATGCACGCGCCTTTACACAGCTGGTGCCTGGATACACTTCGACGTGGAATTATTTTCTTCATTCTACTTATTTTGCTTCGTGGCTTTGTAATCAATGACCTTGAAAGCGTGCATTTCAAGAAATACTAATATTTAGACTGAGGATTTTTACGCATTTCCGACAAATTTGAAGGTATGCGCAGAATATTAAAAAGTATATGAAACATTCAGAGTATAGTATTTTCGTTATAATATTAAATACATAGATGAAACAAAACTCTATTCATATTCCTCCTTTTTTACTTGTTTTCATATAATTATGAATTTCTATCAACGACAAACATCCACAGTAATTCGTATTAATCATTATTTTAATAATTCTTTATTTATTTATAATAAAATTATCTCCTACTTCGTCGGAATATTTGCGATCGTCTGTAAATTTGCTATATCTCGTTTAATCGGATGAAGCTACGTATGAACTGTGAAAAGGCTTGATCCGGTGCATTGTGGAAGAAAGATCCAAAAGTAGAAACAACTGCTTCTATTGTTATCGGCCGTATCAGCACGCAGAATAGAAACTTTCTGCGTATCTTCCTCTGGTAATTCAGCATCTTTCCCGAGGCCAAACTTGGCTGAGATTTTCGTGTTACACGCGCACGTGTATTTGGAATATACCGTGACGTATTTTCTCGGTGTTTGCGCGTGTTTTTGTGTTACATTGCACAGCTGCATCGCAGATTTCCATCGATCTTTTAATGATCTTTTAAGTCAGCAATCCTCGGGCGTGTAATCAATCATTCGAACGGTTCGCGGATCTAAACGTTCGAATGGTTACGAAAAGAGATGGATAGAGAAAGAGACACAGTTATTCAACCGTTAATTTGGTTTTGCGCACGAACGAGGACCAAAGCGCAGGAAAATAGCGAGCTTGTAACAGGTATAGACCTATGGAATGGTTGGCCGGTTAATTGTCTTCGGTTCGGTCGAGTAAAATTTATTCTAAATTTTCCTTGTCCAATTTTAACCTGTCTTTCTTCAATTTTCTATATTTTTCAAGCGGTTCAATCGTCAGAAACTGTAGATATGTCAATCAGCTGAATCGTTTAAAAAATTCTAGATAGAATTATTCATATTCAAATTAGATATAAATCTCGAAGATCCGCTAAAAATTGTTCCGCTGTTCTCGATTTGAAAATAACATTTTAATGCACCGAAACTGTAATGAATTTTCCTATACGCAAGAATAATCGTTGACTCAGTTGATTGTCAAAAACTATGGGCCAACCATACTGGAATTACCTAAAAATTCTAAAATTAAAGAATTATTCACACCAGATTCCTCTATTTAAAAGGGAAACTGTGTACCACTGTAACGAAGGGAAATCGTCACAAAGCTCCACCTACGCATCCATGATTCCTAATTGCCAAAAGCGGCACGCCGATCGTCAATTTCGAGAATTTCGCCTACAAACCATCGTATTCGCGACGCGACTCGAATAAGAAGCGGCCTGGCACAGTCACGTCATCTCGGACGTGCGTGCAGTACACGCGAAAATAGCACGATCATTCGGCCGGAATTGGTCGCACGATGAGTTTTCTCGGCTCGTTGATTCCGTGAGACGTCACGAGACATTGGTGCACGTGCTAATTAAACGTGTTTCGATGGAATTTAAAATGTTCACCGGGCATTTCGTATTCCGTGCAACGATCCAGCAGTTCAGTTTCCTTGGTTTACGAGCTACGTTAGCTTCAATGGCGTCGTAAACGAGACAACAGGCACAAAGTGAACACGTCCTTTTAAATCTTCCAGCTACGTTTACGTTCGTCTCGTATGTTCTTATCGTAACGACAATCGGTAATGATCTCTAGATTATTTGTTCTACCTGTATTATCCTTGGCTCATTCTCTGTTACTATGAATTTTTCTGTCTCCCTCTTGCTCTTATTTCAACAAACGAAAAGACTTGCAATGTTTCAAGAAAATTTTTGTGGATTGTGAAACTGGTCTTCTTTTAGCACAGTATATCTTCTTTGTAAAACCATAAAAAAATATGTATTGATTTCATTATTGTTAATTAATGAAAAGTAATTTTTCCACAGACTAAAAAATATTCGGTGCCATAAGGTATAAAAGAAGAAAGATTAAAACAGTTTCTACTGATCTTTACAATGTTAGGAGCATTAGCTTCTTGCTTTAAAATCTTACGGTTACAAAAGCATTTTTCCCAACATTTAGACATGTTCGCCAGTCATGCTGGAAAGATAAGTCATCAAAACTGATGGTCTTAAACTTGTTGCTAGTAACTTTGCTCCAGAAGCTGTTCCACGAAAGTCCCTTTAATCACTCGAAATACCGCGTGGCGTGTAACTGTAATGAAAATAAACAGGACAAGAAAAAAGAAAATCCAAAAGGTTCGAACGGCGCGTACAACATCGTTTAGCGTTTCTTTGACGAGCCCGGAAAACGCAGAAACGTTTTTTTTTTTAGATCAGGCTGCTTGCGTAATATAATTTTCAAAAACGTGTCACCTTTTGCACGCCTCTTGTCGTGCATGGCTAAGAATCTTTCTTTCTTGAATGTATGAAAAGCAGAAGGTGATCTACGAGGAGAGGATCGTCCAGACGTTGAAACGCAATCACAACGTTTCTCGCGTGAATTTCATAAAAATTAGGACATTGGTTGCTCGGATAATTCTTAATTCATTAAACAGACAAAACAGTCTCCTTTTTTGCCTAATTTTGACAGGAATACAGTGACAATTTACAACATTTATATAACATTCTAGTGTGTGTATTATTTATAAATATTATTCATAGAAAATTTGTATGAATGTATTATGTGTGTGTTTATATGTTTATACGAAACTTTTTAAATTTTCATTCATACTATAATGATACACGACTATCATGAATACAGCGATAGAATTTGAAACCAATTTGAAATAATAATAATAATAACATAAAATAATAATAGCTACAAGCCGTTTATTGCAAACGTACACTTAGCAAAAAGTAAAGATACATTATGAGTAAGTTAAAGGCTTAAATATGTATAGGTATTCCTTACTGAGATTGCATTTACACAACTTACACGCGTTATTTCACTGTTCGGCGGCTAATGGGTTAAGTAATGATTTTACAGGGCGAGCATACATCATCGTCGGCGTTTCTTCCTTGACAGGAGGGCGCCGTGAGATCAGAAAACGCGGGCAGCTGGCTCGTTTGGCTCTAAATAAAGCGCTCAAGTGCGGCAGGCGAAATGAAACGCAATAAAACTTATCCGCACCACTGGCGCGTTCCTTTCTCTCTCTCCAACTTCTGTTTCAGCTCCCTCGCCTCTTTTCTAAATCCTCATATTTTCTCGTTTCCCTTCTTTTCTCATTTTCACCCTTTCACGACTCTCGCCGTGCCTTCTTCTCTACTTTTCCCTCACGCTCCGATATTTCATCTCTTCCTTCCAAGTTGCTTCTTTTCATCGTTCCTTCCTTCTAGTTCTTGTTTTTCTTTCGAACTCGGTCTTATTGTTCTTCCCTTGCCGCGATTGTTTCCATTCTTCCGTTCTTCCGCTCACGTTCGAAGTAAAATTAATATACAGGGTGATTAAAAAGTGGAGCAACCGACTATTCTTTTTTACGATTTTCTTTACTGATAGTTACAGAAAAGTCGCGCAAGTATCGCTGATTATTCTTGTCGCTGACTTTAAACGATCAGAAAGATGACAGATCTGGGAAATTCTTAATATTTCAAGATATTTTGAAAATTGAAAAATGTTAAACAGAGCATTTTAACTAAAAAGGGCAACTAATTTAGCTTAATTGTGTAATAAGGTTCAACAGTAAGCAAAAGATATGTTTTATGGTTGAAGGTTTTTGTTATCTAAGGACTTCTGTAAATTGTATGTCATATATTTCGTTATGTGTTTGTTAAGGAATACGGTTCTTCCTTCGAGATTGCAATTATATCTGGTAAAAGTTGATCCAAGATTTCGCGATCGTTTCCCCATGTAATTTCGTAGTTTGTTATCTACGGGTATCATTATTTTCAGGAGTAATCCTGAACAGTATGTTGATGCTTTGTATCACTATCGATCGATTCCGGAATATTAAGCCAACAATGTAATACTCTCTAAGTAGCACAACAATTTCCTTCCAACATTTGGTTATCCGTTTTAGTAACGTTTCATCAAATCCTATCGAACAATATTATTATGAAATTCTCGTTAGAACTGAAATTAATATTTTGTCACTGAGCGAGCAATATTCACAAATAAAAGGAAAAACATGATATGGTCTGTTAAATGTTCATTCGTAATTAACTTGGTCTTGATTTTCAAACAATACGTAAAAACTATGCGTTTACCAAAGTTCTCAATTGAATTAATATTATTAGTAAAACCTTTCTTTTTTTTTGAAACTAAGTTTTCTCGATATCTCGGTGCCTTCAATGAAAAAATTCCATAAAATATTTTCGAATATTTCGTACCACGCCTTATATAATATTTTCTATGTCTCTTTTCTTTTTCTTGATATAGACGAAGATTTTGTTCTCCATCACCGTGAAAATAGTTTCTATAGATGGATAGGGATTGATCGAAGGACGGGACGAAAAAACAGATGTGCCGATCGACGATATATTGGAACAGAAGATTCGATCAATCGCAATTTACTCGTTTATTTCCCGCTAGCGATCCTTCTCTTGCGACGAGGGCCGAAGGTCAGACAGTGGTACAAGAGGGTGATGGATTTTGTTGATCGAATAAAATAAAAATAACGAAGCTATCTCCGTGGAGCGATTAAAAGGAAGAAAATGATCATCGAAGGGAAGATTGTTTTCGTCGTTTCCAAGCCTGGAGATTCTAAAACGATGAAATCATTGGCACCGGAGAGTTGCTTGGTGGTATCGATTTGTCCAAATCCTTTCTATAGCAGCTTTTATTCGTTCCGAACACGAGGTCGACCAAAATAATACTTAACATGGTTCTATTCTATTTCGATTGAAGTATGGATATATTATGCGTGGTTCCTATCGATTATTTAGAACAAGTATTAAATACTTTTCTACGAAGTGTTATTTTATCGAGTAAAAGTTTAATATTAAAAACAGATTTATATAAAAAGTATAATATTGCCGATATTACCTTATAGAATACCAAATTGACAAAAATATTTCATACGTGTCTATTTAATGTCTTCAAAGTGTATAAAAATAAATTAGAGTGTCGAATTCAACGTTTTTCAAGGATAAATTTTCATCGATGTTGGGTGAATATGATTCACCGTGACTTATAATTAGACTACGGATGTTTATGTATTTATCGGAAATTTTTGGCCGCAAGAATGTACAGAAAGTACATGATACACAAAAATACACAAAATATCGATTTACAGGGTGAAACTTTTTTTTTTTATCGAAGTTACTCATAAAGCTATAAACTTGTATAAACATCTAGAGTCTATTTGTCATTTCATTTTTTAAATTTTGTACTTTGTTTAGTTACTTAATCATTTCCTTTGAACCTCTATCTTCTATTAACACAGCGAACCTAACCCGAAACTTTGTAACAACACTTCCTTATACGATACGTTATACGACCAAACGACGACTTGACGTTTTATCGATACAAGGTAAAAAACGCACTATCGGCTCTCCTAGCGAGCCATATATTATACTCGAGAGGTGAACGTCCAAATTTCACGTTTCACTAACATAGGTTACATAAAATCGATGACACGCTATCCCTCTGACACTTTTTCCTTCCCATTCGCTAGCTCATATCCACATCGTCGACGACGCTCGTCTTTCCTACAGCCATAGATCGCCTGGATTTATTTCTTTTTCTTTTCTAGAGTCACGGCAGTGTTTCCCGTACGTGTGCGTACGCGAATCGGGGTCGATCCGTGGACTCGCTCGAAATGCTACAACGGCCAGGGAAAATAGTTGGAGTGTGAGTCACACGATTTTATCGCGGCCAATCTAAAAGTTGCTTTACGAGCCGTTGTGGACCACCGACCGTCACTTTGCATTTCCATGGATCGCAGAAATGCTACACGATGGATATTAAATAAACCCGTCGGAAAGGCGGAAAGGAACTCTGATTTTTATTTCAACTGTGACTTCGCACCGTCTTCACGTTGCTTTCGTGTCTTTTCTCAGACATCATGCCATGCTGTTTGCTGTTTTCTCACCCTGGTTTAGGAATAAGGTTAAAATTGCCTCGGGTACACCGGAGAAATTTCGATTGACAAGTCGAGCGAATGGAAATCCCGATTTCCCCTCGAGGGATCAGAGTCGCATTGATATTACGATTCTTTTGTGAAAAGATACTCGTATCACGAGATTAATCGACGCAATGACGTATGAAAGAAAGCATAGAGATGGAATATAAGGCTTAATCTGTTTGAAGTCGGTGACGCATTACTGATAAAAACAGCCAATAACACAGGTTTCTAAAAGAAATTTTTATTATCAGCTAGTATTAAAAACATATTTTAAAAAAGCTATCTGGGGAAATACGTTACTGAAACGAAGTAATAGACGATATTACGTAAAGATTAAAGCAAAGTTTTATGCATATGATGCATATAGTGTGCCATCACAGATTAATTTAGGAATCAATGACACATGTATTCTTTCATTCCTCGGGCAGGACAGAAATCATCTAAAATCTAAAACATGTATTTTTCATCTCCAAAACTTACTGTTACTTATTTCATTTCCCTACATAAACGGAACAAATTCGACTTCGAATGAATAGTTTGGATTAATTGTAGGTCGGGTGTTTGTTGAATTAGTGGAGGTTTATGTCCGATTTCGTTAGCACGTGACTTTAAAACATCGACTAACCGCACGACGCCCACGAAAGGAAATACCTTCATAGGTTAGAATTATAGGATTCCAGATATATAGCTGGTAACGCGACACGCACTGTCATCGCACGCAACTCGTCGACACGCGACGTTAATTAATACGAACGTTTACTTATTTATTTCTATCCCATGAAATTACTGTCTTTCATCAAGCATGCACAACTTCATTAAGAACTTAAATCGTTATAATAATCTTAATATCGTTGTGATTTATTTCACATTATCATCTTTTGATAAAAGAGTGACGTAATTAAGGAAAATTCCTTATTAATTAAGAAACATGTAAGATTCTTGTGTAGTGTGAGTTACATATATATAATAAATGCTATAATATTTTATTATATAATTATAACATTGCTATCCTAATACACAGTTCGATTTTTTGATATATAGAAAAAACTTCTGTAAATATTTCAAAACTGACAATTGTTTAGATAAATCGCTCATCTAGCAAAACGACGGTATAAAATATCCATAGGAAATTTGTCTTCAATCTCAAAGATTTTCTTCGCGAATTTAGATTAATAAATGAAATATCAAATTATTTGATACGAAATCGAACGAATATCTATGTTTATTGATTATTAAAGCAATGGAAAAGCTAGTCATAAAGATGGTCGTGTTGGCTATACTGCCAAACTGGCAGTGTTCCAAATTTCGTGCGAAAAAGAGACTACGTCTCTAGCAGACAGATTAGTAATTAAAGTACTTATTAAT